GAAACTGAGACACAGAAAGGTTAACTTTCCCAGAGTTGCACAGCCTCTTAAGTGGTAGAACGAAGATTTTATTTGTTTTCCTGGTGTAAGAGAACTTGGTGGGTTCCTTAAATCCTGATCAGAGTCTGTCACAGAATTTGCCTGTTGCCCATTCAGAGGCGGGAGGAGGAGTGGAGGGGCAGGGGCAAAGGTAGGGCACCAGGACTCGGGGAGAGGTGGTTTGTGAAAGGCTTTAGGGACAGCACCAGCCCCTGTAGAACAGGGACCCTGGGGGTCCCAAAGCATCATTGGCAGGACTCTGGGAGGTTAGGGCTTGGTCTGCATGGGACAGCGCGTCGCATCTGATACTGTCACATATTAGCAGTCTACTGGCCACATTCAAACAGGCAGCACCCCATGAGTGTCTCAGCACCAGCACAGCAGCCTTCCAATTCACCTGCTCACTCCAGGGCAGGTGAGAGTTCCATTGGGCCTCACCACCCAGCCCCTGGGTGGCTCCAAGGGCTGAAGGGATGTGATTGCCATCTCCGTGAGCCTAAGCAGGCAATGTACCTTCCAGGGCACAGGGCACAGGGCACAGAGCACAGGGCACAGAGCACAGAGCACAGAGCACAGAGCACAGAGCACAGAGCACAGAGCACAGAGCACAGAGCACAGAGCACAGAGCACAGAGCACAGAGCACAGAGCATGCGTCCGAGGGCGAATCACCTGGGCAGAGAGAGCAGTGGCAGAAATCAAGGAGAAGTGAGCATGCTAGCCAAGTCTTCAGCAGCCTGTGACTTTCCAGGCACAGGCCCCACAGCAGGGTGTACATTTTTTATGTACACACACACACACACACACACACACACACTGCACCAGTCCTGTCTCTTCAGATAGGCATTTTCAGAAGAAAGCCAATGACACTACCAAGCCCATGACCCATTTCAAGATATGACAGGACATAATTTCCAAGTAGAGAGAAGAAAAATTCTCAGAAAGCCCTGTATACCACAGAAATCCGTACACCAGTTTCAAGTCTCATCCAAAAGACGGGGCCAGAGTGCAAGACACCGCGTCCGGACTGGGGTGAAGAAGCTCCCTCCAGCCCCCTCAAGACTCTAGGCCAACCAACATGAAAGTCCCCTTGACAGTGGGGTCATTCCAGCCTCATCTCAGGTGGCAACCTCTCAGAGCAGAGGAAATACACACGCTGCTGCCAGGCAGCCCGGGGCAGAAGTGATCACAGCTGCTCATTCCACATTTCCCTTTTATAGACCTACAGTCACCTGTGGACCATTCGAAACAGAGATGTTTTCTGCATCTCAAGCAGGTGGCTGTTTAAGCCCAATCTACAAAGAAATTCCCATTTTGGTCAGTGCTCTTTCTGGAGGTCAACACAGAAACAGCTTCTTGCTCTTGAAAAGTGATCTTGTTGCAACACCTCCCTCTCTGTATGAATAAGGGGGTCTTCCAGGTGGCCAGGAACAGCCCTCAACAGGCCAAGGCAAAGCAGAGAGCGGCCTGAGATCCCCACTGCTACCTCCAGCCTGAGGCCCAGCATCACACGGCTTCCCCCGCTTTCAGCAACCCATTCGGTAGCTTTGCGGTGGTTAAGAAGACATTAGGATTCTACTTTTTCTCCTCCCAGCAATCTCAAATGTCGAAGAAAGGAAACTTCTACCATTATTGTCAGAAACAAGACCGAAACCACAGGCCATCCTCAAACACTAGTGTTCTCTCTCTTTTTTTTTCATCTTTATTTGTTCTTTTGTTAACACTAGTGTTCTCTTCACCAGACAGCAGCACGTGGAGGGTACTGCATCCCTAATCTAAGCACTACCCACCGTGTGTAAATCCAAATGGCTATTATCCTACCTCAAGGATCGCTGCACACGCTGTACCCTGTCTTATACGGCCTGCCAAGCTTCTGGCAGCAAAGAAGTAATCTCCCGGTTCCTACGTGGCACCGGGGATGCCAACGACAGCCAGAGAAATAGAACTCATAAGGTCAAATACATGCCCTCAAACCAAGCTACAAAAACCACAGTCAGGCAAAGCTGGAGTAACCACAAAGGCAGAGAATGGAAGCTCCCTTATGCTAGACAGCACAGCTCCCCAGGTTTCTGCGGCATCTGAAACTTGATAGGGTGACATCACTGGGAGAGGGTGACGGCCCACGAATAGGCCTGGGACTATAGGGAAAGGCTTCCACTCTACAGGCAGCCATCAGGGTGCTGGGCTACAGCAGGGCTGGCGCGGGCAGACAGACGCAGCATACTGGTGAAGGTGGGTGAAACATGAAGGAAACGGATGTTGGTATATCCAAGACCCTTCGCTACAAACGGTCCCAGCCCCACCACTCACCAGCCATGTGGCCTCAGGCAAGTGGGATAATCCCTGTGTCTCACTTTCCTCATCTTTAAAAGGTGAGCTATTGGGCCAGGTGCGGTGGCTCATGCCTGTAATCCCAGCACTTTGGGAGGCCCAGGCGGGTGGATCACGAGGTCAACAGATCGAGACCATCCTGGTCAACAAGGTGAAACCCCGTCTCTATTCAAAATACAAAAAATTAGCTGGGCATGGTGGCGTGTGCCTGTAATCCCAGCGACTCAGGAGGCTGAGGCAGGAGAATTGCCTGAACCCAGGAGGCGGAGGTTGCGGTGAGCCGAGATCGCTCCATTGCACTCCAGCCTGGGTAACAAGAGCGAAACTCCATCTCAAAAAAAAAAAAAAAAAAAGGTGGGATAATACAGATTGATGTACTTTATTGGGTTGTGACGATCAAATGATTTGATATACAGAAAAGTGTTGAGAACAGGCTCAACATACAGTATGTGCTCCATCGCTGCTGTTCATATTGGTGGTGGTGGTGAATGGTCTGCGGGTTAGTAGGGATGCCTGTGAGGTGGGAGGAACACTTCCTGAGTAGGAAGATAGACTGCTCCGATGATACTCATCTACTGCCATTGGCACGCTCCTCCCTTTATTGTACCAAGATCTGTTTCCTTCATGTTTCACCCAACCTCAATCAGCCCTTCCCTTCTTAGGACTAGGTCTCCCTTCAACACGTCCTCAAATGCTATGGTTTCCAGTCCCCACACTCTTATTCACCCTCCTTGGAACAAGCTCAAGGCCCTAAACAACTGTCTCTAAAGCCAGTTCCCACCCAAGCCAACATTCCAAGGCCGAAGCCATCCCCGCTATCATGAGTTGAGCATCCTGCTTTCACTAGGGGACAGCAGGTTGCACTGACGGGGCTGCAGGCTGACAGTCAGCCCTGGGGAGCCAGCACCACACATTCCCATGAGCTCCCTCCTCACAGGAGGTGGCTGTTGCCTTCTTCTGCCAGAGCTCCTGGTCCTTGGATAGAGGAATTCCACTGCTGTGTCTCATCCTTACTCACCAACTTGGAGACACTTCCTAAGAGTGGACGGCAGCCGCCTCCCCGCCCCACGGGGCTGTGCTCGGGCGCCTTTCGTGCCGCCTCTCACCCTGTTCTTGTCTCAAACACGCACACCTGTGGGGCTCCCTTCCCAGCACTACGCTTCACAACAGACTCTCCGTAGCCCAGGAGAGGAGAGGCTCTTCAGAAAGGAGATGGCTGCACTGCCCATGGCTTCGCTGCGGAAAGGGTGTTGTTTTGCTCCTTCCCCAGATCTCTAAAGCCACAGCTATGCTGGAGCACAGACATAGAAGCCAGCCACACCCAGCCGCCTTTGGCATGGGCACACTGAATGGGCTCAGTTCTCCTGCCATGACTGAAAGTGCACCCTCCCACAGAAGGCACTTGACCCCTGTTCCAGGACAGTCCCGATCAGAAGAGAGGCCCTCGAGCAGCGCAAGGCAGGTGCTGAGAAGGCACAGCAAAAGTGGCCCAGGCCACTCGCCTATTCCCTCCTCCTCCCCTGTCAACTCCACTCACATTCCAAACCCAGAGCCCTAGCTCCTGAGAAACCCATGCAGACGGCAAAGTTTTCTTTCTCCCGGACCCCTGAGAGGCTCTCCTGATAAAGCACCAGTGCTCTCCCTGAAGACACAGGCTTCTGTAAAAGGAAAGAGGTTGAATTGACTCACAGTTCAGCGTGGCTGGGGAGGCCTCAGGAAACTCAGAATCATGGCAGAAGGAGAAGCCAACACGTCCGTCTTCACACAGTAGCAACAAGAAACACCCAGTGAAGGGGTGGGGGAAGCCGTTTATAAAACCATTCGATCTCGTGAGAACTCACTCACGATCACGAGAACAGCCTGTGAGAATCCGCTGCGGTAACTCAACTGTCTGCACCTGGTTCCTCCCAGGACACAGGAGGATCATGGGAGTTACACTTCGAGGTGAGATTTCGGTGAGGACACAGGCAAATCATATCAAGGGCGGCGAAATGAGAGCACGAGGAAGTACATTTACCAGGCCGGGTCAGCTCGGGAAATAAAATTGGCTTTCACAGTGGCTAAACTGCTTGAAATTCCTTCTTCTTTCTCTATCCTCTCGAGAGTATTTCTAACTGAAAGAGAAATATACTTTTCTTTTTGAGGAAGGAAGGCAAGGAAAGGAAGGAGGGAGGGAGGGAGGGAAGAAGGAAGGAAGGAAGGAGGGAGGGAGGGAAGGAAAGGGAGAATGAAGGAGAGAAGGAAGGTAGCTCAAACTGACTTGATTTAGCTCATTATTAAACATACAAATAGGATAATTCCTGTTGTTGGCGTGTGATCATTTACCTGCATAAGGTCTTGTGACGTATCTATGATTGCATTACTTCTTTGAGTTAAGGATTCCCCGGCCACACACAAATCAGTACTTGCCTTACTTTGGAAAACCAAAAGAGCTCACTAAAGCGGTCCCTCTTATAATAAGGGGACAGCAGCCTGCAGGACACATTTCGGCTTCCACAATTCTGGAATGCAGAAAAAGTAGCTGGCTAATGACTTTAAAACCCATACTCCACCAGGCACTATATAGGGGCCAAGGGAAAGCTTCCCCTCCACCCTCTGAAAGTTCACTGAAAATCAACTCACGGAAGACAGATTAGTAAAAGAAATGGCATATGAATTTATTTTAACAAGCATAGCACTGAGGATCCATAGAGAACAATTACCCAATAACCCTTCTTCACAGGGGAAGGGGAGATGGAGGAAATGTGGCAATGTGAGGGATGGTAAATTATTTTTGGGGGGAGATAAGTGGACTTGTAGAACTTACTGTGACCTCAAACAGTCTGTTGGGACCACAGAGCAAACGATGGCTCACAAATGAATCTCTTTAAAATACCGAATGGCACCAATGGCTCGTGACAAAAAGCTGTCCAGGTGTGTCGACAGACGTCAGTGTTTCTTCCTGTGAGATGAGTTGAGTTGATGAAAACTCAGGGAGGAGACTAGAGGTAACTGTTTTCTTTTTGGTGGGTCCAGACTTCAGGCAGATAAGGATTAAAGAGAACAACTTCATCCAGAGCTTTGGGAGGGATGGGGCTGGGGGTAGGGGGTGGGGGTGAAGACCAGAGAGACCCTGAGGCTCTTCCTTAGCTCAGCATGTCAAAGCACCATATTTTGGGGTAACAGTTGCTGAGCCCCAACAACGGCCACACCATAGTCAAATTAAGCCAATCATCCAATACTGCAGGATTGGTCCAGTCCAGTTCCTCTCGTGACAAGTGACCCCAACACGAGTTTTACTCCCCGAGGTCATTTTGGAGGGGGAGAGATCACTTACCCGCATACTTTGATAAAATACGAAATGCCTTTCCCAGCTGGCTCTTTTCCTCTCCTGCAGGCCGACTCCCCATCCCTTTATTGGTATATGAACTTAACAAATCCATTAATATGGGGACATTTTGGATGTATCGACTCCGCTCTGAAACAAACCTGTATCCCCAAACTCAGTGCCAGGGCTGAGGGGGAGTCCCCTACGGCCGACATAGCTCCCCACGAGGTTCTCATTCGTCCCAGGTTTTTTTTGTTTGTTTGTTTTGAGACCTTTTCCTCCCATTCATGTCCTTCTCCCCTCTCCAGCACTGTGCGGGAAGAACCTGACTGTGATGAGAAGGCTTTGGGTTTCTCCACCCTTCACTCCTGCTACTTTTTTTTTTTTAGCATTCTTCTCTACATCCTCCTTTCCTCACTCCCAGGCTTCTCACCCAGACTCTCTGCTGGGTAACACTTGTAGACAAAGCTCCCTCATTCACAACATCCCAACTATTTGTCCTGTATCAAAGCAGACCTTGTGCAGTAGCTCAAAATTGAACAACCGCTGAAAGAGTGAAGGAACAAAACTGAGCGAAATGAAGCAGAACGAAGGGTTTGTGGGCAGGGAACGGCGGGGACGTGTCATCAGAATTCTCTCTTGCTGTTGTACCCAACTCCGCACATTCTCCTCACTGTTGAGTTATATCCATCCCCTGTGAATGGTTTAGATCGAATAGAATCGGTCAAGTTCACCAGCTTGACTCCTCCTCAGATGATGAGCCGCATTCTCCATGACAATTCCAGGGCTGGTCCCAGTCTTCCGAAGCGGTCGTTAACTCCTAGCAGATGTTCCGAAGCTCTCAGGTTTTCTGCGTAAGCGTAGAGTGGCTGGAAAAGCTGTAGAATCAGGAAGACTCAGACTGGAATCCTGGAGCAACGACCTACTGGCTACAGGCAGGTTACTCTCTCCGAGTCTCAGGTTCCCCATTTGCAAAATGAACCAGTGCTATCCGCTCCAAGAATTTCTGTGAGGATTAAATGACCATGTGCTAACCTGATAGTTGTTCTGGGCATATGTTTTTCCACTGTTCCCTGCAAAATTCACTGCCCATATCACCAACACAGTCCATATTCTTTCATGCCTTGCTAAAGTATAACGGCCACACTGTGTATACTCGGGGTTTCGTCACATTATTTACATGGATGAAATTGTTTCCTGTACCCCCAAATCTACCCTGCTTGGTGACCAAGAATCACTTCTGTCCCTATTACTAGTTATTTCATGTCTGTACTCAGACAACTGTTATTCAAAATTACATAATATGAAAGGAGTGCTGTCAATGGATGTCTATTATTATATTTACCAAATTTTTAATTCTTAGAACTGGTATCACCAACTAAACAAATTTAGAAGAAACGGGTTTTTATACCATTGGTTCTATTGGATCATTAAAAAAAGAGGTTAGAAAAAGAAGCTATTTATATAGTATTTTATTCCCATAAGACTTTAACCAGCTCCAGTGTTCATACAATGATCGCGTGCAGAATTGTATCGCTTTCTCCTTTACTCGACACATATGTATCCAGCACCTTCTTAATGCCAACATTGTGCTAGGCGCTGGGCACAGCGTAGCAGACACAAATGACAAGCACTCACCTCCTGGTGCAGGAAAGGTATTTCTTCAGGTGTAATGTCCACCGTTGTCCTATTGAATATCTTTGAACGTGGAGTCTATCTTACAAAGGCTATTGGCTAGGCCACGACTGTGACATTGATAAAAAGTGCTCTTATTGCCATCACTTCGGTTGACCTGGGTGCATTGTTGGGTGGCACTGCATGGCTTGAGCTTAACTGCCACTCAGGAGGTTTTTGAAAAGACTCACTCATTATCTGCACACAAAAAGGCACAGAGAGGTGAAGCAGAAATTTGATATTCGTCATTAGAGTGACCGTCATCTTATGTTTTCTTACAAAGCAACAAGTGTTTTATGAAACATAATCACAATATATGAAGCTGTGCTTCACTGGGCACGTGCAAAAGGATTGCTCATCAGGCTCTAAGCAGTAGAAGAAACTGCCAAACACTAAAGCAGAGGAAAGACATCCCCAGACAAAGAGAGGCACTGTGACACAAGACTATCACTAAGACATCAGGTTGCCGTGCAACTTGTAACTTGCCTTTTCCTTTTTTACTGGTACGTTAAACAATGGTACAGCGTGCTATTTGTGTATATTAGATTCAGTGAAATACTATAATAAACAAGTAAGCAAAAGATAAGATCATTATACGTCCTGAAAGGGCCTCTCAGCAAGAGTGACACATTGCCAAGTAATGCACATTGTTCCACATGAAGTTGGTGAGCATAACAGCACTTCCTTCTGGAAATACTTTAGTATACAAAGTGCTGACACGTGATGGTGTCTCTCGTCAGCAGCTCAACAACCACTCCTGGAAGCCATTATTACTGTGTATACGTATGGATGAAGAGACGGGGGCTCAAATAGCTTAAGAGATGTCCCTTATGTCACTCGGCTAAGGCCTGGAATACTCAAAACGAGAATCCAGGACTTGTGGCTCCATCTCCTGTGTTTTTCTTCTCAGCTATGTGAAATGGTACGAAATGCAGATTAAATGATTATCCGCAGTCCTGTGTGATTCTGGCAGGTATCCCGCTGAGACTTACCAGCTGTCCACTCAACTCCAAGGCATCCTTCAGTTCTCTCATCCTTTCCTCTCAGTCTCAGGGATCTGCCTGCAGAGGGAGTGTGGTCGAAAGGAGATACTGAATCCTCACTCTCTGCCGGGCCCTAACTCAAGGAGATGTAGGCAATAATTCATTCCATTGCTTTTACCATGGGGCTCTCCAGGGATGGCATCAGACGCTGCAGGAACGTGAATGATAAATATCACACTCCAAGGATTAGGTCCCAGGCAAGTTCTCAGGGGAGAGCTATACATATGACACATATCACTGTGTCCAGAAGACAAGGGCACCCTGCTGGTTCACATGAGCAAAGCCTAGATTGGCAATAACAGACAACTGGCAATAGGTATAGAGAGTCTTGTAAAAGTTGATGTCATTTAACCTAGTAATTTCATTCCCAGGAATTCATTCAAAGACAATCAATCTGGGATGTAGCGAAAGGTCTGTGAACAGGATTGCATCACAGTGTGTTTTACGTTTGGAAAAAACAGTGATTTTAACTCAAATTACAGTAGTGAAGGGTTGATCAAATATTGTAATTCTGATACAACCACACATTAGAATTCTCTCTTGCCAGTTATCAATGTCATGGGGAAATATTCAAGACAAAATATTGAGTCATAAAATCAGGATTCTTTCAAGGTCTGGTGGCTCATGCCTGTAATCCCAGGGCTTTGGGAGGCCTAGGCGGGTGGATCACCAGGTCAAGAGATCGAGACCATTCTGGCCAACATGGTGAAACCCTGTCACCACTAAAAATAAAATACAAAAAAAAATTAGCCGGGTGTGGCGACACATGCCAGTAGTCCCAACTACTTGGGAGGCTGAGGCAGGAGAATCGCCTGAACCAGGGAGATGGAGGTTGCAGTGAGCCGAGATCGTGCACCACTGCACTGGGTGACAAGAGCAAAAACTCTGTCTCAAAAAAAAAAAAATCAGGATTCTAAATGATACACACACACACACACACACACACACACACACACAATTAAGCTCAAACATACACATGGAGACTTTTACTACATTTTAAAACCTAGAAGGAAAGCATACAATAGTTATCTCTGACTATGGGAATACAGGTAATGTTGGTTACTTCGGTGTTTTTTGGTGTTTTCTCTAAAGTTTCTTTTTCTTTTTCTTTTTTTTAATTTTAGATGGAGTCTCAATCTGTCGCCATGGGCTGGAGTGCAGTGGTGTGATCTTAGCTCACTGCAACCTCCTCCTCCCAGTTTCAAGCAATTCTTGTGCCTCAGCCTCCCGAATAGCTGGGACTACATGCTAATTTTTCTATTTTTAGTAGCGATGGGGTTTTACCATGTTTTCCAGACTGGTCTGGAACTCCTGACCTCAGTTAATCCACCCACCTCAGCCTAACAAAGTGTAGGGATTACAGGCATAAGCCACTGCACCTGGTCGTTTTTCTCTAAGTTTTCTGCAGTGTTTTATTTTGCTTTTTGTTTGTTTGTTTGTTTTTGCTTTTTAAGAGACAAAGTCCATCCAAGTCAGAGGCAGAAATAGACGTGAAAAATGGGGACAGGGCCTTTGAACCAGAGGCAATATGAGAAAGTGAGAAGGATGGCCCGGGCCGGGTGGGTCTGTGAGGCTACCTGGAAAAGAGTATCACAGGGATCACATCCCACAGGGCAATATCTCCAGATCCAGCAGTCTTTCAGGAAGGCAGATGGAGTCTCACACCTGTCCCACTCATCTTAAACTGGCCTGGTCATAGGGTCAGAGCCTCAGCAGACGTAGGCACCCTGGAATAAGTTGCCAAATAGGGGTTGAGCAACAGCACCCCGGAACAAGAAGGTGGAGCCTGGGAAAGGGGATGTAAGGTAAAATCCTAACCCCTCTCCTCAAGGTACTTACAGTCAATGTGAGGAAGGATGACAGCCATAAAATGATGACCTGTGACAATGAGGGTCATTCCACACACGTCCTCCAGACCCCAGTACAAAAGCTCAGGCTTTCATCTCCATTATATTGGGCAAAACACAAAGCATTAACCAAAGAAAAAAATTAAAAGTACATAGAAAAGGAGACACAGAGGAATACAGAAAAGCAAAAACCCTCCACCAAACTGATGGATGTCTCCTCCCGAAGGACGCCTGACCTTTCTCAGGCATCCTGCCACTGAGGAAGTCAATTATTCACAGCCTACGTTCCCCAGATTCCACTCAGCACAGCCTGGAATCAAGGAGTTCATTTAATGGAAGCTTAACAGATTCAGATTTCTCTAAAATTCCACATCCCCTTCTGCCAAAAAGCTGTTTTGAAAGATGACACTCCCTTGATGTAAATTTGCAGCCTGCCCCATTAACAAGCTTCAGAAAACATTTTTAAACCAACCGTGTTCCAGACACTTGCTCCCAAGGACAAACTAGAAGAAACTCTGCGCCAGCTCAAACCTTCCGAGCACTTTGATGATCAGAAATGAGGGAAAATATTAGAACAACTGTTATTAATCCCAATAGTCTCAACAATCTTCAAAGCAAGCCATCGCTCCGGGCTGCAGAAAGCAGAGCTCATGCCGAGCCGGCCCTTTTGGTCCTAACTCCTGTTAGCCAAACCAGCCCCCTAAAAACAGACAGACCGCAGAACAATGGAGGGAAACATTCAGAATCAAAGGTGAGGGGAGGAAAAAAGGAAGAGGAAATGGGTGAATGGAAGAAGGAGGATGAGGATTGGAAAACTGACTACTTAAACCTTTAGCGGGTCCCTCCAATAGAAGGATAAGGTATTGCAATGCCACACCCGCCTCAAAGCAGCCCCCTCAGGTCACTGTTGTGCAGCTGAGAATTCTGGAGATGCCGAGGCAGCTGGCATCTACATCCCTGTCCCGCTCACAAGAGGCTGAGAACCCCAGAACCCCTCACCGTGCACATTTCTCTTGGGCGCGGTGGGAGGGGTGTTTCCATTCCCAAACCTTGCGGCCATGTGCTCTTAGATACACAAACATCTCCGCAGCCTTTGCCAACTTCACCCAGCAAGAAAGCTGCAATGCAGAACTAGTGGCATGTCAATCCTTTCTGTGACGAGCCGGTGACAGGCTGGACTACGATGAGTGAAGCAGTCGGATGTTGTCACAGGAAAGAGGCATGAGGAGAGGATGAGAACGGAGTGGAACCGTAATAAACATCATCATAGAAGACCCCATCGGCACCAAGTTTATCAGCGCCGGCCTAACTGAAAAAGCCAGAACACCTGTTTGGAACGGGGATTCCGGCTCCTCCACTTCGTAGCTGTGTGGCTGAGCACGCTTCTGGCCCTTTCTAAGTCTTCCTTTAGCGTCTGTTGAAGGTGATAGCAATCACCACTCCATATGTTTAGAGATTAAAGCCAAACCATATCTGTAAGGCATTTGCAGAGCATTAGCAGTACCAGTAGTAGAAAGGAGTATTTTATATTATTTCAACTAGGATTATGTACTATTTCATTGTACCCTTGCTTCGTATAGAAGACCTTTTTAACACTATGTGATTTAAAGTAGAGCAGAGTCTCAGAAAGGTTAGACGCCTTTCCCAGTAAGTAGAAAAAGTGAATGCAGGCTGGGTGCAGTGGCCAACGCCTGTAATCCCAGCACTTTGGGAGGCCAACACAGCCAGATCTCCTGAAGTCAGGAATTTGATACCAGCCAGGCACACATGGTAAAAACCCTGTCTCTACTAAAAATACAAATATTAGCCTGGTGGTGCATGCCTGTAATCCCGGCTACTCAGGAGGCGGAGGCAAGGGAATAGCTTGAACCCAGGGGGCAGAGGTCGCAGTGAGTCAAGGTCATGCCACAGCACTTCAGCCTGGGCAACATTCCATCTCAAAAAAATTAAGCAGTTAATGCAGAAATAAGGCCGTGTATTGGTTTCTTATTGCTTCTGTAAAAAATTACTACAAATTTAATTACTTAAATTGACACTATCCTACCGTTCTGGAAGTCAAAAGTCCTAAAATTAAGGTGTCAAACAGAACTGTGTTGACTCCAAGGACAAAACCCATTTCCTCGCCTTCTTCAGCTTCTAGAGACCACCTGCATTCCTTGGCTTTCGGCCCCTTCCTCTATCTTTAAAACCAGCAGCACAGCATCTTCCAATTCTCTCTCTGTTCCTAACCCTCCTGCCTCTTTCTTATAAGAACCCTTGTGATTCCATTGGTCCCGTTCAAAGAAACCAGGGTAATCTCCCCACCTCAAGATCCTTAAGTGAATCACACCTGCAAAGTCCCTTTTCCATATCAGGTCACCTATTCTAGGCTCTAGGGATTACGATGTGGACAAATGTGGAGGTGGTCCTTATTCGGCCTGCCATGAACCTGATCCTGTTCTACAGAACAGAGCTAACTGCAGCGGGAATGGGGTTTTGTTTGTTTGCTTTGGTTTAAACTCTCATTTCTTTTTTTTTGGAGACAGAGTTTCGCTCTTGTTACCCAGGCTGGAGTGCAATGGCGCCATCTCAGCTCACCGCAACCTCCGCCTCCTGGGTTCAGGCAATTCTCCTGCCTCAGCCTCCTGAGTAGCTGGGATTACAGGCATGCACCACCGTGCCCAGCTAATTTTTTGTATTTTAGTAGAGACAAGGTTTCACCATGTTGACCAGGATGGTCTCGATCTCGTGATCCACCCGCCTCGGCCTCCCAAAGTGCTGGGATTACAGGCTTGAGCCACCGCGCCCGGCCCTAAACTCTCATTTCTTTACTCAGCAAATACCATAGAGCAGCTCCTATGCGCAGGGCACATTTATAACTTATAACCTCCTCCTCTCTGGATATAACCCCATCAGAATCAAGCTTCATTAGTGTGATACAAAATAGGTCTTTACATGCATATCACAAAATATCTCTGAAACCCAGACTTTAAAAAACAAAAAGGGGCTTTGGAGACCGTCAGCCAATCCCTATTCTATAAAGGGGCAAACTCAGACCCAGAGGAGTAATATAACTTTCCCAGGGTCAAACAGGGAGTTTGTGAGAGGTTTTGAGGGTCTGACTCAGATCTAGAGGAAGAAAGTAAATGGAGACATTTTCGAGAAAAATCAGCGAGCTGGCTGGCAACGGGGCAGGAGAAATGCAGGGGTCACGGGTGCCTAAGGTTCACGGCTTGGGGATGTCATTCGTCGAGCTGGGGACCGATAGTACAGGAAGACACTTTTAAGGGAAAGTACGTATTCGGTGTGTTCCAGAACTCGGATCTCTTCTTGGTATCACTGTGAAATTTTCCATTACTTCATCTCGCTTCCTGTCTATTCTCTCACAAGTCCAAACACGAGGCTGTAATCATCGTCGGACCACTACATATCAGTGCTCCGTGCTTCTTGCTGACACCTGGCTACGCTTTGAGGATGAGATTTTTGTTCCAACATCCACCAACATACAAGGAGCCCAAGGCAATGGGATTTGCTGAGCATCTCTGCTTGAACCTTAAAGGTGCTGCCCCACTGTCTTCCAGTAGACCTTCTTTCTGGGGAGAGGTCTGTTGAATTTTTTTTTTTTTTTTTTTTCCTGAGACGGAGTTTTGCTCTTGTTACCCAGGCTGGAGTGCAATGGCGCAATCTCGGCTCACCGCAACCTCCGCCTCCTGGGTTCAGGCAGTTCTTCTGCCTCAGCCTCCTGAGTAGCTGGGATTACAGGCACGCGCCACCATGCCCAGCTAATTTTTTGTATTTTTAGTAGAGACGGGGTTTCACCATGTTGACCAGGATGGTCTCAATCTCTTGACCTTGTGATCCACCCGCCTCGGCCTCCCAAAGTGCTGGGATTACAGGCTTCAGCCACTGCACCCGGCCCATGTCTGTTGAATTCTTATCTTTGTTGCTGTGTGTGCAGTAGGGCCTTTTACTCTGGCTTTTCTAAAGAGTTTCTTTTTATCACTGGTTTTCGGCAATTTGATTATTCTGGACCTTGTTTCCCTCAGGTTGTTTGTGCTTCAAGATCATTGATCATCTCGGATCTACACATGAGTGTTTTCATCAGATTTAGACCGTATTCCAGCATTATTTCCTTAGGCATATTTTCTGGCCTCTTTCTTGTCTCCTTTGGAATCTTCAATGACATGCATATGAGGCCTCTTAAAATTGCCCGACAGCTCCCTGATGTTCTGTTCACCTATTTTCCGTCTTTTTCCTCTGTGTTTCATATGAATGGTTTCTGCGGCTGGGCCTTCGAGTCCACTAATCTTTTCTTCTGCAATGTGTAATCTGTTATTCATCCCATCCAATGGATTTCAAGTCTCAGACATTGTTTTTTCAATCTCTAGAAGTTCAGTGTAGACTTCTATGCCTTCCATGTTTCTTCTCAGCATGCTTCCATGCTCTTCTACCATCCTGAACAAATGAAATAGAAGAAATGTTTTGATGTTCTTGTTGACTAATTTTGCCATCTGTAACAATTCTAGGTTGGTTTTGATTGATTGATTTTTCTCTTCATTATGTGTTGTATTTTCCTGCTTCTCTGCATGCCCGGTAATTTTTGACTAGATACCAGACATTGTGAATTTTACCTAATTGGTGCTGGATATTCCTGCATTATTTTAAACGTTCTTCAGCTTTGTCCTGGGGTGCAGTTAAATCCTGGTCAATATGGTGAAACCCCGTCTCTACTAAAAATACAAAAAATTAGCTGGGCATGGTGGTGCGTGCCTGTAATCCCAGCTACTCAGGAGGCTGAGGCAGGAGAATTGCCTGAACCCAGGAGGCGGAGGTTGCGGTGAGCTGAGATCGCGCCACTGCACTCCAGCCTCGGTAACAAGAGCGAAACTCCATCTCAAAAAAGAAAAGAAAAGAAAAGAAATAAATTACTTGGAAACAGTTTGACCTTTTTGAAGCTTGCTTTAAAACTTTGTTAGAAGGAGCTGGGCACAGTGGCTCATGCCCGTAATCCCAGCACTTTGGGATGCCAAGGTGGGCAGATCATGAGGTCAGGAGATCGAGACCATCCTGGCTAACACAGTGAAAACCCATTTCTACTAAAAATACAAAAAATGAGCTGGGCATGGTGGCATGTGCCTATAATCCCAGCTACTCCAGAGGCTGAGGCAGCAGAATCGTTTGCACCTAGGAGGCGGAGGTCGCAGTGAGCTGACATTGCGCCACTGCCCGCCAGCCTAGTTAACACAGGGAGACTCCGTCTCAAAAAAAAACCCAAAAAACAACTTTCTTAGATGGGACCAGAACAGCCTTTAGTGTAGCGCAAATTTGCCCCTTGATTCCAAACAACACTGTTTATGTTGTTTTGTTTTTTGTTTTTTGATTTTTTTGAGATGGAGTTTCGCTCTTGTTACCCAGGCTGGAGTGCAATGGCGCGATCTCAGCTCACCGCAACCTCCGCCTCCTGGGTTCAGGCAATTCTCCTGCCTCAGCCTCCCGAGTAGCTGGGATGACAGGCACGCGCCACCATGCCCAGCTAATTTTTTGTATTTTTAGTAGAGACGGGGTTTCACCTTGTTGACCAGGATGGTCTCGATCTCTTGACCTCGTGATCCACCCGCCTCAGCCTCCCAAAGTGCTGGGATTACAGGCGTGAGCCACCGCGCCCAGCCGGTTTATGTTGTTAATGGTTACAATATAATGACAAGATATCCGTGTCCCACACTATTCCTTCCTGACTCTCCCTTCCACAACCGTGTTGGGGTAGAGCCGTTTGCTGCCCAGCTCACTCTCCCGTGTATTCACAAGGCAAATTTTCCAAGGTTTAAACAAATGCCTAATGGTACTGCGGTGCCAGTTTGCACAGCACCAGGGCTCTTGCCTCTCACAGAGTCCTGCCCCCTTTCCACTGTGTAACACAGCACATCCAGCTCAACAGTATTCCATCAGACTGACGTTGCTGCATATCTTCACCCAGGAGGGGTAACGGCGCTAAGCCTCTTATGTGAGTGACAAAATAAAATCCGAGCTTCAGCGCTGAAATGCCTTGCTTTTCTGGAGCAAACCCCATCGGAGATCTCAGAAGAATTTAAAAAAGAATTTCTAGAAGTTTCAGTGTGGAGAGTGGCGGGCTTAGAGAATTGCAGGGATGTTTGAAGCCCTGCCCACAGTTCCAGGAAACACCCTTTGCATGTGAGCTCCTTTCCCACACAAATGTGAGAAGGAGGCTATGACCCTGGAAACTGAACACGGGGAAACAGAAACCCTGCCAAAACTATTCCTCCATTGACGTCAGACACAGAAACACCCATATAAGTTTGGTTCGTTGTCACAAATAGAATAATAACATGTAATCATTTCACAGAGATTCCACTAACATTCTCACTTGTGATTCTGACAACAAGCCTATAAGTAAGAAAGGCAGGTGTCCCAGCTCCCAAGTGACAGATGAGGAAATCAGCCTTGTGGAGGATAAATCGTCTTAACAAGGTCAGACAAAGTTCGTGCAAAGTGGGGCCCTGAACCCAGATCCTCTGACTCCTGGTCAAGAGCTCGTTTCATTCTGCTCTGCCTCCTCTCTTACTGTATCAGAAAAGAGAACAGCCACCAACTTCCTGTGTTGACCCAAGACCAAGGTTTCTTGATGGCGGCACACTTGACATTTTGTGCTGGGTAATTCTCAGCTGTGAGAACCTGTCCTGTGCACTGAAGAGTGTTTAGCAGGATCTCTGGCCTCTGCCTACTAGATGCCAGTAGCACGCTCCTTGCCCCCTGTTTTGACAACCAAAAATATCTCCAGGTATTGCCATGATGCCAAATGCCAAATGTCCCGAGGTCGGGGATTAACAGCAGAGCAAACTCACCCCTCGGGTGAAAACCCCTGCCCGAAATGATGCCTGAGAACGCTGTCCACGAGTTTGAGACAGCAGCAGTGATTAAGTTTGTTCTGCAAAAGGAGAAACGAAATCAAAAGAGCAACGCGTGCTGATGGCAGTGAGTCTGGGACCTTGGAACTTGGCTGTGAGAGACAGAACAGCCCCGGAGAATTCTCTGAAAAGCTCTCTTCCGGGCCACCCTCCTAACTTAAGCTTCTGTGGTCCCAGTCCACTCCTTCAGGCCCAGTCAACTCTGCAAAACCCAAGCCACGTTCCAAGGAAACATTTCTGGAGGGCAACATAGAATCGTTAACATGATGAGAGGCAGAATGGCAGAGGAGTTCAGATGCAGGCTCTGCACATACAATCCGGATGAATCTCCCCTAGTGCTGGGTGAGAAGGGCCAGGCCCAGAAGAGCACCTGCTGTATGAATCTACTGACTTGAAGGTCAAGAGCAGGCAAAACTGATCTCAGTGATGGAGGTCAGAACAGTTACCTCTTGCGGTGGTGTTGCCTGCAGACAGGTCTCAGAAACAGAAATGTTCTCTGCCTTTATCTTGGTGCTGGCTACACTGGACACTCACGATACTCACAGAGCTATGCACTTAGGATTCATCACCTAAAAAAGAAAAGAAAGAAAGAAAGAAAAAATGTTGACTCTGGAGACAACAATTGTGTGGGTTTAAGTTTCAGCCCTGAGGATGGTTCTGGTTACCTTGGAGCATTTGGTGAGAGGTTAATACACTACACAGGACATGCAGGAAGGGAATAATAAGGATTTGCATCATTATAATTAAAAGAACTGCACTTCCAGCCAGCCAGGCAAAGCAAAGGATGAAGAGAGCTACTCTGAATTTCTCTGCTGCCCTCCCCCCGCCCCGCCTCACCTCCCATGCATTGAACACAGAGTGCATATGTAAGTCCTCCCACCCAACCACGAAGACAGGCACACCTGCCATCTTTCTCTGTCTTCTCCAGTTCCTTCCAGGTTCTCTCCGGAGGATTGCTTCGGAGCTGCCCCTGTTTGCAGAGCTCTTCATCAATAGACTGCATATCTACAGAATAGCATGGTATGGATTACACAGTTCATCGCTGGAGACCGGGGTGCTGTACTGCGTCTCCTCCACAGTTATTCTCGGCATCAGCAGCCCTGGCTCTTAGCATCCGTTTCTTTACATTTGAAGGTGGAGCATAAGAACTGCAGTGAAACAGATCAGATGGGGGCAGATGGGATTTCTCTTTCCCTTCCCCCCACGATTCCTCAGTGGATCTATCCTGATACCTTCACTGCTATTTGCTCCCTGCTATCTTTTATTCTTCTCTTTTGAAACTGGCTGAGTTGAAAGGAAGTAAACAAGTGGGCGAGCGTGTGGAAAGGGCATTAGACGGCGTGTCCAGACACCTGGACTCTAGAGCCAGTATCTAGTTATGTGATTGATTGACGTGTGTTTTAGCTTTTTGGCACCGCAGGTTCTAGGCTGTTTTGTTTTTTTTTTAATGTGTTAAATGAAGTGATTGGTCTAGATCTGTGGTTTTTGAATGCATGTCAGTCATGGAAACCTTCCTACAAACAGAATCTCTAACAGAAAATGTTAAAACCTAAAAGCAATTTTGTTTGGGTTGAAACGAGGTGGGCAGTCAGGAACCCACCCTTTCATCCTCTGTGTCCTCTCCCATCTCCCACAGCAGCCCCCAAAGTCGCTCCACAAGATCCTGGGACTTGGGGTCCTAGAGCACGATGTCTAAACCGTCAGATGTACCTATTTAGAAACTCATTTTCTGCTCGTCAAGTGCGCCGGCCTCTGCCCTCCGTTAGAGCAGCGAGGACTAGCCTTCGAAACCCCAGCGCACAGAGGAGAGTGCAGGTGCAGCTGACAGCGTACAAGGCCTTGAAAAGCTGCCCGGACAGAATTTCCCCAACGGTGCCCTATGGACTATCAGTCCCAGAGATGCTTGGCCAAAAAGGGGAATACAGAGGGTAGGGGCACCTTGCCTCAAAGGAATTGAGTTTGAGAGCCTCTGTCTATCATCTGCCCCTACCAGAGACTAAACGCACAGTAGCTTCTTCTCTCTGGCCAGCAGGAAGCCTGATTCATGTTGCTTAATACAACATTTCCCAAATTTATTTGGCCACAAAATTCCTTTCTCCCCATAACTCCTATGAATATCACGAGAAACACTTGGAGATCAGAAAGGCCTTCACAAAGGGAGCTTTTAAAGACTGAGTTACAAGGCTCAAAATAAATGAGGAATCCGAGAAGACGAAGGGAAGAGGGAGAAGGACGCTGGTTTGGGCTCTAGAGGGCTTTACCACAAGGGCGGAGCAAGGCCCACCGTCATGATTCCAAAGACCACCCAGAACTCACTCGCTGTCTGTCGGTGCCTTTCTGCAGCTCATCCTAGAGGGCAGACAGAGGCCAGGGTTGCTGTGTTCGTGGCCCGAGGCTCCTGACCGTCTGAAGGGGACTGTGGGTGTTAGAAGTGAAGAGGGCAGGCCCCTCCTCTGTTCTCCCCTTCCTCCCGGTAGTGCCTCGCTGTACCAAATCTTTCCCTGGAAAGGGCAGAACAATGAATTACCCTGTTAAATCACTTCAGCAGATAACCCACCTTTGTGCTGGGACCACACGGATGCATAAGATATGAACAGCTTAGAGCCCAGTCATGAAATGGGCAACTCAACAAACAGCCCCACCCTCAAGCTCTGCACAGGGGACTGGGGGCACAGAGAAGGGCCCCTCCCCTGACCAGCTGTCAGGAGAACCGTCCACACGTTCTGTTCCTCCAAGGTTGGGATCTAAGGCGTAGGAAGAGAAGACAGGCTCCAAGCACAGAGAATTGCAGGAGCAAAGGCACAGAGGCACCCGGGACCCTCGAGCAGCCATGGCTGGAGCCACGTGTCGCAGGACGGAGAGCGTGTGAACAGCGGGGACTGGAAGCGGAGGGAGCCTACCGGGGAGCAGTTGCGGGCGTTCATGCTGCAGAGAGTTGCTGACAGTAGGAGGGAAGAAGAGGAAGGGGGAGTGGAAGATGACTCAGCGGGGGTGAGCCGGTGCCTGGAAGAGAGGGATGTGTGAGCGGGATGAGGAAGTCAGCAGAAGCTGGCTGGAGGCGGGAGGTGGAAAGACAAGTTCAGTCCTCAGCAACTTAGCAGGTTATATAAGAACTCGGGGCCTGGATGACGATGATCATAATCATGACGGGGAGGAGGACAAAGACGTCTAGGAGCTCTCTCTGTCATCTCTCTCGCTCTTTTTCTTTCCTTCCTGGTTGTGGGAGTTTGCAGGGAGGCAGGAGGTGGTGAAGAACAGTAATTAGAAGAGAGTTTGTGTCATCATCAGAAAGCACCTGGGGCAAGTGGAGTTGGGGCTAGCTTCTCCATCCATCCCTGATACCTCAGCCCCATTCATCATGCAGCAGAAGACAGGCTGGGCTGCCCAGCTGGGTCCTGTGCCCCCACCACCCCACAACCCCACTGGTCCATATTTAGGATCCCTTGTCTTTGACTCCCTTCCTTCCCTGTGACTCACCTAAGCCTGACCCTACACTCCCTATCCCGGCCACTGCCTCAGCTTCCTCCAACCCCAGCTTGGGATGAACCATCTCCCTGCAGAGGCAGAGAACCAATGACACTACACGCTAACCAGGGCCATGATGCAAACAGAACGCCAAGGCGCCCTCCGCTTAGGATGCATTATATTCGGGGTAGACGCTGAATTCTAGTAACACATTCCCTGCGGTGTTTTCACATCCAGACACACCGGAGCCTTGTTCCAGCCTCACTGTGGGCGAAGGCCCCGGGCTCACCTCCAGCCTCAGGCTGGCTCTGGCTGCTGCCCCTGTTCCATCCTGGCTAGTGGAACTGAACAGGCCAGAGCTCCACAGCCCCCGCTGCTGCCCGCTGGAAGTTCTGCTGACTCCAACCTCAGGCCCCTGCCTGCTTCTAAATCTACACGCTCCTGCTCCTTCCTGCCCCTGCTGGCCTGTCAGAATGCCACTCCCTTCTGCCAAGACCTCGGGCGTTGCTACAGCCCAGCCCCGTCTTTATTGCCATTGGGGCTCTGTCCTCTGGCAGAGCCCATCCCATTGCCACCCACATCTGGGACAGCAGACTGCCCAATTTCCTCCAGAATCCGTTTCTTCCAAAAAGCTTGGCACATCTTAGCTGCCAGCATGAACTGCGAGCTCCCAGAGATGCCCATGGCACTTTCCAACATTCGTCTCTTTTGACACATCTAAAATATCCTCGCTCCCAGAGCTGCCTGAGCACCAGCCCAGATGGACTGGCTGCTGGGGAGGCATCGGTCTCTCCAGGGCATCTGAGAAGCCCTGGGGCAGGAGGGGGATGTCTGACACAGCTTCCAGAGGAGCCCCGCTTCCTCTCACACTGGCACCCCTGCCAAATGAGCGGGTACCTCTGTGTTCCAGCAGCCCTCGCTGCCCGGCTTCCAAGCTCCAAGCCAGCTTCCTTCCACAGAATTCTCTGCACCTTGGCTCCCGGTGGCTCCAAGCACTTTGCCATCTGCTGAGTTCAGTTCGGCCAGAGAGGAGGTGGCCTAGGTGGGGAGTTCTCTGTGGGGCCCACCTTTTCCCTCTCAGGTCACCTCTACTCTCAGAAGGAAACCGATCCCTGACCTCTTAAATAGCTGAAATCAAGGGCCACTAGGCCCAGCTGGATAAAGGCATGCAGGTCAGATCTAGTGAGGCAGACAGGTAAGCCGAAAAAGACAAGCAAGGTGAGCAGACCCTTTGACCCCACAGTCAGACAGCAAGAGAGCTACTCCCACAGTTCTCCGGGGCATGAAGGGGCTGCAGCGGTAGGTCAACAGCATCCACTAATGGATACCATGGAAAGTAGAAGAAGGAAACGAGCTGGGACCTTTTTTTATTTAACATTATTTTTTAGGCCGGGCACAGAGGCTCACGCCTATAATCCCAACACTTTGGGAGGCTGAGGCAGGAGGATCACTTGAGGCCAGGAGTTTGAGACCACAACACAATGAGGCCCTATCTATATGGAAAAAAAATTTTAATTAAAAGTTAGCTAGTAGTGGGGGGGTGCTGGTTTCATGTGCCTGTGATCCCAGCTATTTGGGACGCTGAGGAGGGAGGGTTGCTTGAGCCCAGGAGTTCAAGGCTACAGTGAACTAAGGATCACTGCACTCCAGCCCAGGCAACAGAACCCAGACCTTGTCCCTAAAACTATAAAGAAATAAAAAATAATAATTTTTTTTTTTTTAGACAGAGTCTCACTCTGTTGCCAGCCTAGAGTACGGGGGCGCGATCTTGGCTTATTGAAACCTCTGCCTCCCAGGTTCAAGCAATTCTCCTGCCTCAGCCTCCTGAGCAGCTGGGGCTACAGGTGTGTGCCCCCATGCCCAGCTAATTTTTTTTTTTTTTTTTTTTTTTTTTGCATTTTTAGTAGAGACAAGGTTTCACCATGTTGGCCAGACTGGTCTCGATATCTTGACCTCATGATCTGCCCACCCTGACCTCCTCCCAAAGTGCTGGGATCAGAGGCACGAGCCATCGTGCCCCGTCAAGGAAAGAAATTTTTTTAAGGGAGTAAATACATGCCTCATAAATTAAAAGGCTATAAAATAGGAGATTTGCAAAGTCCTACCCCCGCCCCGTGATGTCCGTATCCTGCTCTCCCACCATCGGTGACCACTTCTCTTCATCTTACCTGTATCTTTCCAACATTTCCTTATGCAGCTGAAAGCCAATATGGAGTTATTTACCTCTGCTCCCCGCACCCTTGCACAAAAGGTATCGCACTCTAGATATCATTCGGCACCTTACTTTGGCCACTCAGCAGTACATTCTAGACATATTTTCAAATCGGTACAGCGTTTCTGTAGTCAAGCTGCAAAGCATTTCATTGACGCATATGTCCCAGTTCAGTCACCTAGACTCTAGATGGATACTTGGGATGTTTCCAGTATTTTACAAGTACAGGCAACCCTGCCATGAATGACCTTGTATTAACTTAATTTCATATGTGTGCAGACATAGCCGTAGCGCAGATTCCCATGCAGGAAATGCTGAGTAAACAGAAAATGCGTTTGTAACCTTCATGGCTGTTGCGAATCCTTCTCCGTCGGAGTTGCAGCATTTCAGCGTCTCCATCAAGCTCTGCGGTCACATTTTTTAGTGCTTACCAATCTGCTGAGTGTGACTTGTGTCTCAGTATAGTTTTAACTTGTATTTTTTATCTTCGAAGTGAGGCTGAGGATCTTTTCATGTGTTAAAGGGCCATTCGTATTCCTTTTTCTGTGAACGGTTCCCATGTCCTTGGCTGCCCCGTTTTTCTGCGGGTTGCTGGTCTTGCTCTCCTTGATTTCCAGGCATTCTGTAGATATCAGGGAGATTAGTCCTTTGCGTTGCAGGTAGCCATTACTTTTTCTCCCCTTACTGTTCATTTTTTGCCTCTTCTTACGGTGCTTTTTCGTTTGGTTGGTCATACGGTAGTTTTGTGTTTGCTTTCGTGTAGTGTAATTTAACACCTTAACAGCTTCTGAATTTTGAATCGCAGAGGGAGATTCTTATTCAAAGGTTATGAATGTGAGCCCATACTTCCTTCTAGTCATTTTAGGATTCCTACTATTTCACTTAAAAATTGGATCCAGTTGGAGTTTCCCTGACTTGTGATGACAGGTCTCATATCTTTTTATCCTTTCCAGATCTCCCAATACTGTTTTTTAAAGTCCGTCCTTACCCCAGCACTTTGAGGGATTCGATTTCCACTGCCCAGAACAACCTGGCCACTTTGAGAAGTCACTTCTATCAAACACTCCATGCAAATCTATGCATTTGGCTGTTCTGGATTTCTATTTTGCTTCTTTGGTCTGTCACCCATGCTCCCGGATACACAGCTTGAGCTATTGAATCTTTATGATGTGTTTTAGTATCAAACAGGACAAATCTTCCCCCATAGTCCTTTTTAGTTGAGAGCTCCCCTGGCCACTCACTGGCAAGCTGAGCTCTGTCACTGGCACTCTGTCCTTGCTCGCTGTCATGTTTTATTCTCTTCTCTCCTACAAGGAGGCCAACATGTGCCTTTAGGCATCCAACCAGCAAAAGAGACAAGCACAGCCCACTCCCCGAACGAGGCAGAGGCAGGGGTGCAAGGCCTTCTGGGAGAGTCCCAGTAGCCCACTCCCATGTACTTCTTGGAGGCCGGTGTTTTGGGGAAAGGCCAAATAAGAGAGCTTTGCCTTCCTAGAGGCTTGGAATTTGCCCTGAAGATTCTCAGCACTGACCTTCTGGTCCATCTAATCTGTTTAAATGAAGGTGATCGCAGATAACCTCCACATAGAGTTATCTGTTGCGAACTGACTTGCCCCACGTTGCACGCCAGCTGTTGTGAACTGAACGCGAGCCCGGGAATCTCATCCAGCGAGAAGGTCCCAAACCTGGAAGAGAGCGCGCGCCGGAAAAAAAGGAGATAGAAAAGGCGAGATCTGGAGGGCTACCTGCACTATGCTCATGTAGCAATTTTATTTTTGCAATGTGTTTCATTATATACTTTTCTGAAGTTAAAGTTGTTTACACTAGATTAACGTACTTAAGATACAGTAAGCAAGTTACGCCCAGTAAGTAAATTAAGCCCAGTAAGTAGGCTACGCCCAATAGGGCAAGGTAAGTAGATTACAGTCACGCCCTGTAAGCTATGGGAAGTAAGTTACAGTTACACCCAGTAAGTTACAGTAAGTAAGTGACCAAGTGTAAATACTTAAGTTAATATTTTACAATGAAGATAACAAGGGTCCAAAATGAACACAATCAAGCAATAAACCATAAGAAGCTGAAAGTGGACACATTGCCTCCCAAGTCCTCATATCCATAAAGTAATGTCTATTAATTATTTAGAATAACATAGTCCCTCTCTTGGTTCTTGCTTTCCCTCAGCTCGACTCCCCCAACCGGGAATCTGTGTCAGGGCTCAAGCTCACCGTATGGCGAGGCCCATTTCCTAGGGGCCTCACACAGGAGCGATCCCCACAGGTCTCCCTTAGTTATCCTGTCTGATATTCTGTCTCCTCAAGAGCTGTTACTGATCAGGTGCAGAAGAACCCTTCAAGGAGGAAGGTGTCATCATAACAACATCAATCCCCACCTCGACTACCACCAGTGTCTCCATGGCCACCTTTATTCCTTGAGAACCTGCTATACACCAGGCATTGTGGGAGGTACTTCACACCTTTATCTCAGTTACTTACAACCCCATGAGGAAACCATCTGTAAACTTGCCCAGAATTGTGGCTCATTAGCGGCAGAGCCAAGCTTTGAATCCCAGCCTGGTTCCAAAACTCACATTCGTTACCACAGGGCAACTTCTCAGAATGATCTGCCACCTTGGGATGATGCAAGTTCCCAACCCTCCCAGACCTAATGAATCAGCTGCTCTGGGAATGGCACCCAGGAGTCTGCCTCTCTCACCCGTGAATACACGAGAGGCACTGCTCGCAAGGTTGGGTCATACCTCAGGAAGGCTGTGAGGATGAGCATTTCCTTAGCGGCGGAGTGAGGGCAGAACTCTCGCCGGTGGGTTTTGCAGTCAGATCTTGATTTCCTCATTAGCAGAGAGTGTTAACCTGCAGCCTGATTTGGCTCCTTGAGCTGCCGAATTCAGACAGAGCACCCCACAGCTGGAGCACCCCACAGCTGGAGCACCCCACAGCTGGAGCACCCCACAGCTGGTAAAGGCGGGGACTCAGCTAAGTAGGTTCCAGAGCTACCGACTAAGGCCAGCCGATTTCTCCTGCCAAGAACAACCTGGCCAAATGGAAGGTGGGAGGCTGAAATCCTCACTCCAGAGAGGGGCCTCCTTTTCCTGGCACAAAGGCACAGCACCAAGCCACACAGCTAAGGCCACGTGCTACCTAAAGCAGGTGCACAGAATTCACAGAGAGGCACCAAACACCTTGGTGGATAAGTCCCAACAAATATCTGCAAGGAACCATGTTAGGCTGAGACATGAGAAGGGAGAGATCTTAGGCAAATTTTGTTTTTGTTTTTGTTTTTCTTTTTGAGACGGAGTTTCGCTCTTGTTACCCAGGCTGGAGTGCAATGGCGCGATCTCGGCTCACCGCAACCTCTGCCTCCTGGGTTCAGGCAATTCTCCTGCCTCATCCTCCCGAGTAGCTGGAATTACAGGTACGCGCCACCGTGCCCAGCTAATTTTTAGTATTTTTAGTAGAGACGGGGTTTCACCATGTTGACCAGGATGGTCTCGATCTCTTGACCTCGTGATCCACCCGCCTCGGCCTCCCAAAGTGCTGGGATTACAGGCTTGAGCCACCGCGCCCAGCCCCTTAGGCAAGTTTTGAAAGGAAAGGGAAACAGTGCATTGAATGCCAAGCCCTGGACTAGACATTTCACCAAGTTTCATCCGTCCTCACTACCACCCCCACAAGACACTCTTCCTATTTCCAATGTAGGAGAAGGAAGTTGAAGTCCCTACCGGGTAAGGAAGCTTCCCAAGGTCACACAGCTACTAAGTGTTAAACAATCAAACACACAGCCAACCAGCTCCAAAGCCAGTGCCCTCCCACCCCACTACCCTGCCTCTGCCGTTGCTCCCCATGGCAACCTAGAAACTGCTGGCATACCTGCCTGACGTCTGAAGTGGGCAGGCAGCAGTCATCTGGGCCTCCAGATACGGGTGGTGAAGGGAGGGTACGAGTCCAAAGGCATATCTTAGGGGAATAGTGCACATGCCCAGAAATGGGTCATAGTCTCAGAACTTAGATGTATACAGAAATTGAATTCTGGTCCTGGTTTGGTTTTTTTAGCTAATGTGGCCCTTGGCAGTCACTGAACCCCTCCTTATTTCTTCCTGAGGAAATTAACATGCATGGATAGGAACAGCTGCCGATCCCAGAGTCAGGCAAGTCTCAGGCAAGATGAGAAACACTGAGGGTCTCAGGAAAGCTGAAGGGTCCGGGGTGCATGCTGCAGCCATGACCTCAACCTCTGTGAGTCTAGAGATGACCATACATAAGCTGATCTTCCCCCGACATGTCATAGTCCTTCCCTCCCAACGGGACGCGCCTTTGATTAAAATTCCCAAGATTACCTGGGTAGCTGGGGGCACCATC